GACCTGCGTTACTATTATTGCTCTTATATTCAATTAAAACTATATTGATTAATTTACTACTATTGTTATTTTATAGTTTCAAGTTTTTTTTTTTTTTGTTATATATATTTTTTTTTAATTAATGCATTTCATTCTAATTATGCAAATCGAATAAAGATCTTCAGTTTACTTGACATCAATAAGAACTCCGATTAATTTACTGTTCAATGATTTTTTTTTATTTTTACATTAATACTATTATGATAAAATATTTTTTTTCTTTTCAAATGCAAATAATTTAAATAATTTTCAATGAAACTGACTTAATGCATTTTATTGGAAATAAATAAATCCATTGTACTCCAATCAAACATTTCAAGACATTAACCTTCTTTTATATTGTTAAATATAAATTCTTTTAACTTAACATCGTCTAATATTTTATATTTATTATTATTTTTTTTTATTAAAAAACAATTATTAATTTATTCATTTTATATATCAAATATTAATTGCATTTATTATTAATATTTTTTATATTATTTTTCCATAATTAATATTTAAATCATTTTATCATTAAAAAATGCTCATAAATGACAATTAAATATTATTTTTAATGAAATTCAAAAAAAAAAATACTATTTATACATATATTATGAAACTCTCACTTCTGTCAAACGGTCAACCATTTTGGGGCGCAATTTATCAGATCAATCAAATGAAACCAATGACCTCAAATCTCCAATGATTGCTCTTACAAACGCCAGGTATTGGTAGGCGTTGACCTCTCAAAAGCTTTTAACACAATTTTCCGCACCACCATACTAAATTAGGTGAACCAAAAATTTATCCCAGATCCAACAAGGCGATGGATGTACAACTACATCTTGAACAAATTTTTATTCGTCTATTTAGTGGCCTTATTCTCTAGTGATTAAAATTTCCACTTACTGCCAAAAAATCTGCAACCACCCTTTCTACTTCCTAGATTGAAGAGGTGTTCGTATTAGTTCTCATTTTCGTCGGTGAACTTAGGACTCTCGCAACTTTTAAACCAGAAGTCCTAGGTGTTATATGCTGACTTTCTATGCCCATGTGCTATGCTCTCGCAAGCTGCTTTTGGGGTAAAGATAGAGAAGTCTTTATGACCACATACAAAGCAATAGGACCATATAGAATAGCAATACAAAACAATATGTTGTTCTGATATTAATCCCACAGTTCTGCGAGACACTATGCGATAATATCTCACCACGTCAAAACAGTGTGCTACAATTTCATAAAGCTATTATCGCATGCTAGATGTTAATCATCTTCATGCAGAGTCCACAGTGCTTTTTGTAAAAGAGCATAATTACAATGTAGCTAACATAAATGAGGGCGAGTAAAAACGAGGGCGAGTAAAAACGAGGGCTAGCAGCCGTACATACTGATGCAGTGTTCTCTTCGAAATGGCAGTTATACAGCAAAGCAAGTTCTCAAGAAAGCTTCTCATGTTCTAATACCCACACTAGTTTAAGCCCTATTGGAATTTGAATCAGAGAAGTAATAAAAACACCAGATTTCTTCACTCTGACCAAGGCTAAGACCCATGCCCTCATTCTTTCCTTATCCCAAAATAAACAAATAGAAAATGATCAAAAACACAACATATTATATCGATAAAGATATGAAAACTCTTGATAAAAAAAACTGAACGCCTTAGTCAGAGATAGTGAAGACACCAGATAGAGAAGACGTGAAGAAAAAGGTTATATTATATAGATGAAGACATTGTAACTCTTAATAATATATATTTGAAGCCTAAAACAGAGATAATGGAGATGCCAAACATGGAAGAAGACCAAAAACGCTTCCTATTGTATCAATGAAGAAATGAGAGCTCTTGACCAATCAACAATGGAGGAAAATGGAACAAATTTGTTGAGGAAGCCAAAACATAATCAAAATATTAGTGCTAAATAATGATAAGACTACTTTCTCTATTGAACTCTCAGTTATTTCACTATATTTTACTTATTTTTTAGCAGTATTCTTTTAGTTAATAATATTTATTGACCTCTTCAATATGTCACCCATTCCAAAAATATTTATAATAGCTCTAAATATTGCTTCGATGATTGAATAATAAATTATATTGTTTAGATTTTTTTTTTTTAAATAATTAATTATAATTAATTATAATTATTTTACTCATTTTGTTATGGCACTTCTAATTTTTTTTAATTAACTATTTAATTATAATTACTTCGCCAATTTAATGTAGCACTACGTGTTCTAGTTTTTGCTTAAAGTAAATAAATAAAAAAGGTTCAGTTTCTTTGTTGTGTTCAGTTTATGTATATAGTGTTTTACATATATAGATTTGACATATGATTTAAATATATGTTTGATTAAAATTATAAATTCAAAAAAATTATTAATATTAAAAAAATAGTTATAGTTTGAAACTATTTTAAACGATATAGTCTAATTTAATTTCTTTCAACTTTACATATTAATTATAAAAATTATATTCATCAATTTTAATATTGGTATTATATAGTAAAATTATTATTCTTCTCTTATAGAATTTAATTAAAATTTATTTTTGTAAGTTTAAGTGCAAATAATTACTTTTCATTTTTTTTTTTAATTGTTTTTATTTTTTTAAAACAAAGAATATTTTTATTTTTAAACATTATATATTCAAGCTTTGCTAGCAATTAATATTACAATAATTAAGTAATTAATAGTAAGTAACTTTGCCAAACTTTAAATTATTAATAAAAATATGAGATTTTTATTTTAAAAAAAGACAAATGTTAAAAATTTATAAAAAAGTAATTAAAAATCAATATATATATGTAATATATATGTATCTAGTGATAGAGTTAAAAAAAATTTATAGGTATTGTTTTTATGTATTTAATTTACATGATCATATCATTTGCTTAAATTATATCAATTCAAGCATAAGCCAATTAAATAATATATACTAATTATATTTTATTAATTAATGAATACATTCATATATTAAAAACTCTACTGAAACTTTTTTAATATATACGGTTTGACATTTATTTTATTTAGTTTGGGTTAGGTTAATGTGGCAGTCAGTCCAGTTGACCAAATCACTTAGACCCCACGGTCCATAGTGATACCACTACTTAAGACGGGACCTTAACCGATTATTTTATTTTCTATACCCTATACTAAATTCAATATAATAATAATTGTGATATCCAAGCATCTTTTATAATTACATTTAAATTCATTGTGCATATTTTAAACAAAACAAAACCATATGCGACTATAACATTGTCGTCATTTCAATAGATTATATAGATTTTTCTTAAATTATTTATTTTATATAAAATATATTTTAATATTTTCACTATATCAATGTTTTAAAATTTTTATCATACAGAAATATTTTATAAAACTAATATAAAATAAAAAATCATAATAAAAATATAAATAAATTATATGAAATAATATAGAAATTAAATGAAAATTTAATTAAATTGAATCAAAAAATTTTGAAAAAAATGTTTAATATACAATCTAATTTAGACTTTTTAATAATTATCTATTAATTATACATAAATAATAAAATATTGTATGTATATGCTAATATATAAGTTATATATATTATTATATATTATATCTACTATATATTATAATATATAATATATATATTTATATATATATATATTATATATATATATATATTATATATATATTATATATATATTATATATATTATATATACATTATATATTACATATACTTATATATATTATATACATTTATAATATATATATTATGTTATATAAATCTTTTTATTTATTTATCTTATACATATATATATATATGTTATATAAATCATTTTTATATTATATTTATCTTATACATATATATATATATGTTATATAAATCATTTTTATATTATATTTATCTTATACATATATATATATATGTTATAATATTATTTGTATTATATATATTGTATATACCACACATTTATTATATGTATCATATAAACATTATATATTTTATACTTTTCATAAAACAGATTAAAATATATATAAGTTGTGAAATATATAAGTAAAGTTATATAATTACGAATTTTTATGAATTTTATAATAAACTTTTAATGTAGACATAACAGTTTTTTATTTGTAGCACAAATAAAAAAAATTAATGCTTAAGATGTAAGGACTATTAGCATTGTTTTATTTCTTCTTTACTTTAGAGATGTAATTCTTTTAAATATTTATTCTTACATCGTTTTTAAAGAATTATATGCTAATCAAATTAAACATTATAATATATAATTTTTACAAAATTTTACATTCTTCTTCGTTTTTTTTTTTTTGTTATATGTGAACTTAATGCTAATAGTAATTTATAACCTTGTGTGTGTTGTAGTTTGTAAATTTACAAAAGTAAAAATTTCAATATATGGAAAATTAATTATAAAATTAAAAGTAATATGTAGTTTTAATTATTTTATGATATAGTAAACTGATCCAAGGTATGTAGCAATTTTTGTAACCAAAAAACAGCAGTCGTTGATGATTCTATAAAACCGCGTCGTAGGAAAGTTATAAATTCTGTCTTAATAGCTGAGCGCAAAGTTTTTAAACTCTTCGCATCTTTGCTATTCATCTCAAAGTGTATCCAATTATCCAAGATAAAACTAACTGTCTGCTGATCATCTGTTAAAGCAAGATCACGAACTTCCTTTGATAAAACTTCGAAATCTGCTTCATCATCAGATTTATCGGAATTCTCGCCGCCATAATCGTTTATATTGCAATATCTGCCACAGTGTAGTGCTACGACAACAGGTGAGATAACAGTGTTCATGTTAATAGAGCACAACTTGCCCACACGTGACTTTTCATAAAAGATAATCCAATCATGCGGCAATTGATGTATAAAATCTTTTAGATTCTTTTGTCCTGGTGGATTCAAAGCTGAGGTTCGCTGTACTATAAGCTTCTTTTCTACACTAGATGAAAGTTCATTTTTATAACGATCTAATACGGCAATATTAGGATATAGCCCAGCAGCTAAGCAACATTTTACCATTTCCCAATCATCATTAAATAATGTTGCATTATGTCCTAGACGATACTTTTGCACCATTAGATCGGATATTTGGCGTCGTGTAGCGCAGAACATTTCCATTGCCGAATAAGATAAAGAGTTTTTACTGCAAAAATCGAAACAACGTTTTTTATTGTTTCGAACGGTAGAATATGCCTTGTACAACTCCAACACACCAAGTTGATCACTAAAGCTTTGTGCTGAAAACAGTTTACGTTGATATGAAGCTTGTCCTTGCGCAGAGCGATCTGTTGGTAGTAGAAAAGGATCCTTTACAGAGTGATATGCTACAATTGTTAATACTGGATCAAAACATTTAAAGAAAACACCATAGAGTAAGCATATGCCGAGTTGCACATCAAGTGGTATCTCAACAAGTTGCTTGCCCAAATCCGTCACACTTTCATCATCGTTGAATACTTGTAAGATTTGCAGTTTTTTCACAGCATTTTGTATACAAACTTTCGATGGCGGATTCAGTGCACGTTGTAAATATGTCTGACAATCAGTATTCTTATCAAAAGTTTTTGCGTAGAGACAAATTTCCGCCAATGGTATACGCATAAATTCTGGTATGCAAAATTGTGGCATAAATTCATATTTAGCTTTTGAATACAAACGGTAGCAGATGCCGTTTTGTGTACGACCAGCGCGACCAGAACGTTGATTAGCATCTGCTTTTGAGATCCATACAGATTGTAATTGTGAAGATTCAGTTATAGAATCATAAGTTTTCATTTTAATTTTGCCTGAATCGATAATGTATACCAGATCAGGTATAGTGATCGATGTTTGGCCAATATTTGTGGAAAGTATAATTTTTCTTTGGTTATGACGTTGTAATGCCTCTATTTGATCTTGAGAATCCATTTGTCCATGCAGTATACATAACTTATATGTACCAGGTGGTAATGTACTATTTATGAGATCACGTTGTTGTACGATATCATTATAACCAGGCAAGAATACCAGAATGGCACCTGGATGAGTGCCTCGATATAAACCTTCCAGCAAAGATAATATTAAATCATGATCGACTTCATTATCGTAATTACTCTGCTTTTGATATGCTGTGAGTAGTTGTGTTTTCTCAACATCTTCATCAGTGAACTGTAATTGTTGTTGCAAACAAAATTCAGTTCTCTCTAGAATTTCCGTACATGCCCGATCAGAAAAATTTGCTGCATACTCAACAGCCGTATAACCTTGTGAATCTTGCAAGAGTACATTTGCTTGATTTTTAACAAAAAATTCTACGTATTCAGGGAAATTACACTTGCAAGCAGCCATTAAAGGTGTTATTCCTAAAGAAAAAAAAACAATAAAATGATATAAATTAATTAAATATATTATAATAATTAAATATTGTATAAATTATATTGATTATAAATTAATTATTTATATTTATAATCACACTAATAAATTGTATAAATTATATTAGTATTATTAT